TTTACTTTTCCTCATGTACAAGACAAACAAACTGTTGCAAAAGAGGATATTGTTTCTAAGCTTTGTTTAAAACGCGTTGTTAGAGGAAGATTTTATTTTAGTATGCCAGATTATAATTTAGAATAAAGAATTTTACTGATTTACTGTTTATTTTTTGTACCTACTTCATTTCAAAGGGTGGAAAATTTTTTTAAAAAATTCTAATAGTGATCGACATTACCCCTATTACGTTTTAAAGTCGATTTCCACATAAATCAAGTGGTGATCGACTTTGCCCCAAAGGTGGGGTAAAGTCGACCATAAATATTTATTTTTTTTTATTGTTAATATTTATTAAAACAAGTTGTTAGTCACAATTGTTACTCAAAGCAATGAGCAACTGATATAGGGGGGTGTGGTTATGAAAGTAATGATAATTGCGGAAAAAAAACCGGAAAAACTCACATTTTGTGATCGACTTTGCCCCATTTTACGGTCCTCTAATGATAATGATGCAAATGTATATTTTTTATGCAACTCTGTTGATATTCGTAATTACAGTGAACATTTTAGGGCACATATAGTTGTTTGTAACAAGTTTGACAAAATGAATCCAATTTGTATAAAATTAAGTGAAATATTTTCAAAATTTCCTTTTAACGATTCACAGGGTGTTGGAAAATGAATATATTGACATAAACTACAAATATTATAATTTAAGAAATTAGAGTAAATAGGTATAGGTAACTCTCGTCAGGAGAGATTGCCGATCACAGAACACTTTGTACCGATCTACAATCGTATGATTTACTATAACAAACATATGTCAAATATTACTTCCGTAATAATAATGCTTTGATTAGAATATATTTTTTTAATCAGTATTATTATTAGAGAAGTAATTTGACATGTTTTTCTAGTAAACCATACGATTGCGGATCGGCATCAAGTGTTCTGTGGCCGGCAATCTGTTCTGGCGAGTATATAGTAACTAATGTACTTTATTATTTTACTGTATTATTTGCAAAAATAAATAATTTTTGTGTATACTTACGTCTTTCATTTAACTAATTTCAGACCTTTCATTCCATTTGTATCGTGATTTACACAGTCCATATCGTCATATCGAACTATAAGTATTGTCAAAGTGACAATGTTTTATATTTCTTTTAATAATAGTATTTATAAAATCAAAAACTAGATATATTCAAGTTATAAACAAGATAGTATTGAGGTAATACTACAAGTGATAGGCGTAATGAGTCAATATTATACCTTACGACGACAACTCATCATCAGTTCTATTATAACAATATTCAAATTAAAAATAAAGCCTTAGGGATGTGTTGGGATTACTTGCAGGTAAACACAGAAACAATAATATGTATTTTCACATGATGTATAGCTAACTTAGTAATGAGAATAATCTAATTTTTGGCCATACATGTGGCTATTGTCAAATTGATGCTACTTGTTTATTAAACTAAGCTTTTCTCAAAAGTATACTATTCATAATATCGTACTGCAATAACACTATATTTTAAACAATTACACGAATGTTCAAACTGATTATTTCTCTGAGAGCTAATTATATTTATTACAAGTACATGTTATGCTTGCTCCTATTTATGCCTAACATAATTTTAACTTGAAACTATTAGATTCATTCAAATGCTATATTTTTGTGTGTGTGGCTGGATGTGTTACCTATTAGTATAGTACCTACCTGCCCAGGCCCACTTACATTTTGAGCATGGCTGTCAGTGGCACTGATTTAACCGTTGAATTTTCCGACTTCTTAAAGTCATTGCTGGAATCTTGGGAGCTTGCTCATTTGCACGAGAAATTTCTTGGTAAGATATCGTTGTGTATTATTTGTAATTTCCTTATTTTAATGACAATGAGATCTTCAACAAAATCAAAGAGTACAAATTATAAAAAGATTCATAGAAAACAAAACCAGCTGTGGAAATCTGTAATTACGTCACCGATTTACCTACCTATACGTATACAGGTTGATTCAAATTCGAGGGCCAGCATGGGATCTCGGAAACTATAAAAGATAGTTAGGTAGTTTAAATTTGTCGAAGTTGCGTATTTTGATGGTTAACAAAATGCCGTTTTGAAACTGAAAAAATTCGGATATATTCGGATTCGGGGATATCTGGAAAAACCGAAATTTTGCAAAATCGTTTTTATTTTTTACTGGAGTTATTTAAAAAGATATTTCTAAATAAATGACAGTTATAAATTTTAAGTCTGACGTTTCGTCTCCGGTTAACCATCAGCAACTTTGTTTTTAGCTTCCTAGCATGAGCTAGGTAACTATTGCGATAGCTGTTTTTTGGACATTTCAAACTTTCATCAAATGTCGACGTTTTAGATCATTTTAAGCAACTTTTAAAGATAACATTTTTTTCCGTCTGTATGTACGTTGGCAATTTTCCGAGAAAACGGCTCGACGGATTTTGTTTAAATTTTGGATATGTATATTAGGCATACGGAACAAAAAAATAACGGGCCGGATTTTCGAAAAAAAATTTTGGAGTGCCGCAATGGCTTCGAACTTTTTTTCAAATAGCAACCTAAAATTTTTATTGAGTTATTCGAAAGACCTTATTTTCCTGTGTACAACCTACAAAAATTGTGCGGGGTTTTATTACCAAAAAACTGAGAAAAAAAAAAGTTAGTTAAGAAAACTAAAATATGTCTAATTTTCTGCCTTGGAACGCTAATCTATTTATAGGTTTATATATATATATCACTTCCAAGAAACACCCTAACCTGCTTAATTATGAACCGATTTCGACCAAACTTTAAGGGTTGGTGTAACTCACAAATATCTCGGTTAAGTTTGTGAATCAGCCAATTCTGCCATTTGGAAACAAAATGGCGGACACTTTTATAAGAAAAACGCAACCTTCTTATTTATGCAGCAATTTGAACGAAAATTTGATGGTAGGTCTCTCTAATAAAAGCAAATAAAATGCATGCATAAAAATTCTATTGCGCATGCGCAAAATGCAACTTTCTTATTTATGGTGCAATTTGAACGCAATTTTGATGGTAGGTTAAAGAAATCTACCTACACCTGATCGGCCTAGCCGAAAGGGATTTTGTATTACATTACATTACAATAAAAAAACAAGATAAAATATCAACATGTGAAAATATCAACTTACATGTGTGCAGTTCCCATCATGATTACCAACCTAATTAATATTAAAGAATTAAGTTAAAATAAACAAGAAGACAACGAGCGGAGTTTTCGAGTGGTTAGTCATTCAAATACTAACCGGGAGCAACGCTTCTTGACTTTAGACAATAAGTGAATGAATTATTAGTAATCATATATTAATATTAAACACAAACAAAAGTAAAGTATGATTATAATGTGTCATTCATTTTGAAATATCTTTTTAAATAACTTCAGTAAAAAATAAAAATACGATTTTGCAAAATTTTGTTTTTTCAGGATATCTCCGAAAGTACTTAGTCGGAACTTTTTCAGTTTCAAAAAGGCATTTTGTTAAGCATCAAGATACGGAACTTTGCCTACCTATCTCTTACAGTTTTCGAGATCCCTATGGTGGCTCTCGAATTTGAATCACTCTATATAGCGTTGATTCTCGTTATATAATTAATACTCTTCACGATGTAACCAATTTATATCGTGGGAGGTACTCTTTGACCAAATGATTTTATAGAGAACAATGTAACTGAGGAAATATTTAATTCGTTAAATGAAGATGATATAAAGGAACTCATTCCTTCTTTGGGGTGGAGGAAAAAATTTTTAGAAGGCTATAAAAAGTATATTATTGAGAAGGTATAGATTGAATTTGTTTGGGTTAATTGATTGGTCACATATGAATTTTGTAGGCTGCCATCATATTTGAAACAGATGCAGATAAAATATAATAAACGGTATGTTTAACTCTATAATTAACAAAATAAGTGATATAGTGATATATATTTTAGATACTACTGAATCAAGCTCGTCCGTAGGCATTGAGGAGAATTCTGCAAGTTACCATACTGATACCAGTGTGGAATACACTCCGGAATACATATCTTGTAAATATTCAATTTATCAAATGGATTGGTTCTTATAATTTTACTTTTCAGCTAACCCATCATCTGTTAAAAGTACATTTACTGAAAGTAGGGCACAAAGTACAACTGAATACAATTTAGGAAGTTTATTAAATAAAACAGTAAAAGGACGCTATGTACTTGGTTTTTTTAAAACGCACAATAAGCTGGACAACGATTCCTGTGTTAAGCTCGTGGACATTATTATTATGGAAAATGAATTAGAGAAAGATCACGATCGCAGAATAACTCGGGCGAAATTCAATGAACTGTCATCAGAAATAGTGAATCTCTTTAAAACTGAGCAAAAGGTATGCTAGTCCAGTATTATTAATATCTCGATCAAGCAATATCATATGCAATATTTATTCACTTTTAGGAAGTCTACTTTTGCTCAATCATAAAGCATAGAGACGGAAAAAAAATTGTTTCGGGCCATGGTAAGCTGTTTTCCAAATACTTCAATTATAGGAGAAAGTTGAAGAAAGTAGGATTAATTGCGTCAAATTCTGAAATTTCGGATGATCATTACTGTAAGAACAAATTGGTTAAAGTGATAAACACATACAATACATTTTAGCTGATTTAGATGAAAACACCCCAGCTGATTTAGAAGAAAAGATTCAGAGGCTGAAGAATAATAGAGAACCTTGGATGAAGGTAGAGGAGTCTTGGAAACTGACGTTCCCTAGACGCTTTGCCTCTTTAAAGAATAATTTAACCATACACGATTATTATAAATCATTTACAATCTTAAACGACAACAAAGGCTATACGCTGGTAATAACGCTTTTTTTATATTGCACATGTAAGTAACATCCTGTATTTTTAAGCTGGAATCTGATTTCGAATCTCTATATCCCGATTAGTGATGTTTAATTTCATGAAATTTATCTTTTTGTAACTTACCACGTAATTTATGACGTAACTTACAGTTTTGTCTGTAATTTATGAAATTTATGAAATATACGAGTTTTGGAAGATATTTTATTGTGTAGTGTGGATGTTTGATACTTTGCTGGAAAAGACTCATGGGTAATACGTTTAGAAGTAGGTATATTGTAAATCAACATAAGAAAAACTAAAAACTTAAACTCCTAACCCAAAGTAACATTGTATAATAGACATAAACTTATGCTATAGCACGAAACAAATGAACTACTTATCAAACTAATAAAAAAGAAATTCACAGTCTTCTTTAATTAACTAAAATGGTTGAATCACTTGTACTTGTACTTTACGCTACTTTCTGCGTGTTATCGGTATTGTTTCTTTGTAAAACGACTTACAGCTTATTGACTGAAGATCAGATTCGAGTAGGGATTCTTGGGGATCAGGATCATATACGGACTCATCTGCATTATGTATACTGCAGTTCTGAAAGTAAAATAATATAATATATCGGAAAAGGTACTTGTTCACTTATATTACCAGTACTTCTAATGAATCATCTTTACTGTCGGAACCAGCAATATGACTTGCACTAAGTAGACAAGTAGTATCGCGTTTGCGTTTCTGTCCTTTGGTTTGGGGAGTTTCATCAATATGCTCCTCTTCTGCATCAGACGGGGTATCATTGTAACTAAAGTCATCGTCAGAGTTTCCATTTCCTTCTATATCCGACGTCCACGAAATATTCTATACAGAAAATAAATTGTAATAGGACATACAGGTGCTGTACTGTACCTATGTAACTTACAGAGTCAGAATCAGAACTCTCTGAACAAACTTGATTGGTTGAGAATGATTTTCGTGAGTACTTTTCTTTGGAACTGCTAGTAGGTGGTGCTTCAGGGTTATTAATATTTGATTGCTGATGCTGGAAGTTTCTGTCATCCTGAACCGTCGTAGGTTCTTGAGAACTAAACAATTTACTGTTGTGCTGAATATAATTTAGTTTTATAGCTCTTTTGCTTGTTAACCTATTTCTTCTGTTTGTGTGAATTAAACTTTGAGTGCTAAAGCTTCTTTCGGTGGCAGCTGATGTACATGGCATTGTGAGAATCCGTACAGCTAATTTTGAAAGTGAGAGATCTCCACAATAACCTTTCCACCAAGTTATTGCATCAACCGTAGGTAGTACTTCCCACAAAAAATTCTCTGCAAAGAAATGGAGTTTGCCCATGTAGTGACCTAATTCTGCTATTGCAGTTGGCAACATCGTGTCTTTTGCCAAACCATTAATAAACTTCATAGCACGCATTTTTTGTTCACTTGACAAGTATGAGCCAACAGAGTGAGGATTTAACAGATCAGCAGCCATGTGGACAGGTTGCATTGCATACTGCTGCCTTTCTGAAAATTTTTGTAATATGTTATTCCTCTCCGTTTCTTGTAATTTTAGCAGTTGTAAATTAGAATCAAATTCTAAATTTATTGCATTGAAGGATTTGCACACTAAATGAATAGAAGGACTATCACCTTCCAGAAGTGTTATACTTTGTGTTATGGGCTTTAAAAGGTTTATTACACCCTCCACACTGACCCAAAAATCCTCACTTAGGATAACGGGTTTTATAGTATGAACAACTTTTTGTGTGTCTTCTGTTATACTAAGTCTTTACAAGGCAAATTTGCACTTAACGAGATCTTCCATTGATTTAACATGTGAACCCCACCTTGTTTTGACAGGCATACTTAACGAAGTTGTAAGTTTCATGTCCTTTTTTATTTCTTCTAGTTTTGCTCGCAATATCTGACTGGACATTATGGTCTTAACAATATTCTTAACAGACACAATGATCTGCTCAACAGATTCTACTCGCAATATATCTGAGCACATCAAATGAAGAGTGTGTGCCATATAACCATATGACACAATATGGGGATATTTCTCTTGTATGTTACGTGCTGCTTTACGCATATTAGCGGCATTGTCGGTAACTATTGCGCTAAATTTATGTGACCCATATTTCTCGATTATCTCTAACATGATACCTTCTAAATAGGTAGCAGTATGACTTGCAGTGCCACTTAAAACAGACTTGACAAATAAAGGGCGCGGGGTTGTGATGATAACGTTAATGACACTTTCGTTTCTTAAATTTGACCACCCATCACACTGAAGGGCCAAATTTTCTGAAATGTTCAAAGTTTCCTCCACATGAATTTGTACTCTCTCAAATTCTTCGTCAAGTAGACGATGTGATAACAGATATCGCCCAGGTAACGTAAAGGAGGGTCTCAGTCTTTTAAAGAATAGTTTCCAGTTTCTGTTTTCTGTAATTGATAGTGGTGTATTACTAGTAAACACTGCCTTTGCAAATAAGGCTGTCAGTTGTTGATGTTCTTCTACTTTCATTACGTCTACAAAACTTTCTACCATGGATCTTTGTTTGTTAGAAATGTAATTTGATTTTTTAACGGGTGTAACGGCAGATAAAGTGCGTACTGTATTTTTTTCAACATTACTCTCATGACGACTACAACTAGTAGTACTAGTACTAGGACTAGACGTACGCGATGAAGCTGTCATTTTAGAGCGAATACTGGTGGGGGCTTTCATGCAATTTCCAATATGGATTTTCATCCTAGTGGAATTTTTTGAATATTTTTCTTTGCAAAATTTGCATTGAACACATGTTGTTTTTTTATTACTATCTATACATTCTTCAAAATACATCCACACTGAAGACCTTGGTTTAACCATAATGCTGGAAAAATATTCGAGATTCAGCCCTGTAATGTATCAGAATTCAGAAACGTTAAATTTAACGTGCAGGTTATTTGTAGAAAACGTTATTTTGCCTATACTAAACAATGCAAAATAACGTTTTTTGACAGATAACCTGCACGTTAAATTTGACGTTTCTGATACATCATTGTATTTATTTATCATAAAAAACGTGATATATTATATCATACACATATCTGGTAGAAACGCAATTTATTTTTCTTAAAAATTTACCGCATTGACATAGTAGAATAAATATAATCATATGATTTCACAGATAGTTAACGTCGGGTTAAGTCTGTCTACCTACTTGTTAAATAGGTACTTCTACGTTCTACCAGATTTATGTGATCTTAATTTTGTGACAACATTAATAATTTAATTTAGATACCTTGTTCGTTGAATCCAATAGATTAGGTATATTATTTTACTGATTCGTCAACACAACACACAAGAGACGCATAGGCATAGGTACGCAAAACTAAAGTCAGCACAATTACACAAGGCGACACGCGGTAAGCCGTAAGCACAATGCAACATAATTCCAATAAAAGCAATGGGAGGGGTAAAATGAAACTCGTTAACCTTGATGAAATTTCACGTAAGTTACCGTAATTTATGTAATTTATGAAACTTAATAAATTTCATAAATTTCAAAGATTTCAGTAATTTATAGGGTTTCTGAAATTTCCCTGTAATTTTACCGTCATTTTTGTAAGTTACAAAGTGTAAAATTTCCATCAACATCACTAATCCCGATGGGTCAAACTTAAAATTTTATTCCAACTGGAATTATTTTGCTGAAAAAGTGAAACAAATTGCCAGTCAAAGCAAGGATAAAACAATAATAAATTTAATTAAACAAATTAATGCCTGTAACACGGAAGGTGAGTACCTATAAATATTTCCACATAAATTCTAATTTGTACTTGCGATTAGATGGTGTAAACATTAGAATTTTGAAACTTCTGCCACATTTATTAACCCATTAATTCCCAGTGTACTCGGATGAGTACAATAAACTTTGATTCATTTAAGAGCCCTCTGGCAGTAAGGTACAGAAATTTTTTGGTTATTCGTACGACAAACCTGATGTATATGAACTGTCATACAGATATCTAACAGCGATTATGTCAAATTCTGCAATTTTAACTTTGCACGTGGCTTTTATCTTGCAAGCGTTTCGCTAACCTAAGTTTTCGTGTGTTGACATTTTTCATTATTGTGTTTAGGTTACTTTGGGTCCGCTTAGTGCTGTTTTTTGTGTTTAATTGTGTTCACGAACCATTATAGTAGTGCCTCAGAAACGTACAAGGGTAAGTTAATTAATTTAAAAATAATAATCGCGGTCAAAGTTGAGTGTACTCGCTTGAGTACATTGGGAGAATACCCCCTATGCACAAAATTTCTAAAAAGTAATTAGGCACTTTTCCTCCAGAGTCACTTCACATTTGGAATGGATATGAATGACGTACCAATACCTCCCCTGTTATTTTATGGTAGAAGTTATAAGAATCTAGGTCCAGCTATAGAGGATCTTCAGTCACTGGACACAAACGGCGAGATAGACGTTGTAATAATTCCCCCAGAAGTAGATGAGCAGACGGACGAAGAAGATGTCGACGAAGAAGAGATGAAGATGACATTAGTCCCACGTGATGTTCCAGGATCTATAGAAGTGCACTACGACAAAAGCGATGACGAATATTCCAGTGAAGATGATATCTCCCTTGCAGTATTTAGGAATCAGCAACTACCAAAAAAAAAGAAGACAGCCAACCCCGTGTGGACTAAAGACCCTGAAACAGATATAAGTATGCCTACAGCTCGTGGTTGTCTCGATCGCTTGACCATACTCAAGGCTGAACTTGAAGGTAGAAGCCCGGTGGAAATATTTGAAAAATTTATTGACAAAGACGTGATTGATCATATAGTGTTTCAAAGTAATCTGTACGCACAGCAGAAAAATGACTACCGATTTATGTTTTCTGAATCTGTTATGAAAATTTTTTTGGGATTTCTGTTGCTGACAGGATACCATTCTGTACCACGGGAATCGATGTATTGGAGTTTAGATGAAGATCTGGGTATAGATTTAGTAACGAGAAGCATGTCTAGGAATAGGTTTCATGACATAAAACGAAACATACATCTTGCAGACAATACAAATTTGAAGAAAGTGGACAAAATGGCCAAAGTTCGCCCCCTCATGGATCTCATGAATCAGCGGTTTCAACAATGGGGCTTTTTTCATGAGGAGTTGTCTATTGACGAGAGCATGGTGAAATACTATGGCCACAACTCTTCTAAACAGTTTATCAAAACCAAACCTATTCGATTTGGATATAAGAATTGGACTTTGTGTAGTTCAACGGGTTATTGTTACGCCTTCGATACATACTGTGGGGCTAAGACAACGGAGACTACACATACTCTTCAGGATAAGCTTCCATTGGGATCTAAAGTAGTTCTGGATCTACTCAAAACAATAGCTGTGCCTTCAGAGCACACTCTTTTCTTTGATAATTTTTTTTCATGTCACAGCCTGATGAAAACTCTAAAAGATCTTGGATATAGAGCCACTGGAACCGTGAGGGAAAATCGTACCAAGAAATGTCCTGTTATCAGCGTCAAAGAAATGAAAAATAAAGGTCGAGGATCGTATGACTATATGTTTGACAGTGAAGCCTTGATCTTATTTGTGCGATGGAAGGATAATAGTGTAGTCACAATGGCTACCAACTATGACTCCGTACTACCTATGGAGAAGGTAAAACGTTGGTCGTCAGCTGTAAAAGGAAGAACCGAAGTGCCTCAACCATTTCTTTTCAAAAATTACAATAGGGGAATGGGTGGGGTGGATTTGATGGACCAGTCTGTCAATAATTACCTACCGTATTGCTATACGCGGAAAAAAATGGTGGTGGCCTTTATTTACACATATCATAAATATGGCTACCTCAAATACTTGGCGAATATATCAGTTGGTATCTGGAGAGGGTGTTGATATGCTCTTTATACAGAGAGCAATTGCCCGACACTATCTACGATGTTATGAAAAATCATCCCATAGAGCTAGACCTACTGGTACAGTTCCACAAAGTATTCAAAAGAACGAAGGTGGCCATTTTCCAGAAAAAATAAATAAACAATTAAGATTAGAAGTAGAAATAAATAATGGTATGAACTGCTTTTACGATTCAAGGCAGTCGCTGTCTAAAGATATTTTTGTCACATGAAAGTTTACTAATTCTTAAACAACTATATCTGTTTATCTTCCATAAAATCGATTTTTTTGCTACAGAGGCATCAAAAAATAATATTCTTTGGTTAAAAAATCGCTCTGAGCCTTGGAGTGAAGTAATTGAAAAATGGAATGCTACATTCACTAACCGAACCCAGTCTACCTTTCCAACTGTTTCCGAATTTTACAAGGAGTGGCCTATATTAAAGGATCTCAGAGCAACTGTATTGGTATGTATACCTACTAGTACTACATTATATTTAAATTCTAGATAAACTTGGATTTTGAGCGATTGTATCCAGAGACGACACTAAATTTAATAACAGGATGGAATAATTTTTTGAGACAATTTTTGAGGTTAAAAAATACCAGCTAAAAGATGGTGTTTGGGAAAGACTTATTAGATTTACTCGATAAAGATTTATCTGAAGGTAAAACAGTTTATGGACTGTAAACTTATATTTGACTATACTTTTACGGTTCAATTACTACTTATGCCATATCTTCTTCCTCCGCGTGGTAGAACCAAGCTAAAAGGTTCTCACTGGAAGTTTTCCACTGCCGAGACATCTGAATCTATCATTTGTCATGCTAAGGTAAAGGATATTTAAATAAAGTGTTTATGTGCAATGTGGTAAATATTTTAGATTCCTGGGGATGTTGAACCAATGATTGCTGAACAACGGGATAAAGCAAAGAAACGTAAGGATCAACTACAACCTTACATTATAATACAAGGACCGTCCATATTGGATATCAGTTTTTGCTACCTAATCATAGATGAGTTAAGGTACCAATTTAATAGTGTTAGAGATGCTTTTGATAATTTATTCAAATGTTTTTTTGTGGTAAATGCTTAGACCATATAGTACATGGACTGCTATTCGCCCTATGCTTTCAATACAAAATGGGTGGTCACGGATAGAGGGCACTGTAGTCGTGGGTATGTGAATCTCAGGGTAAACTAAAGTCGCGGATCGCGTAAAGAGCAGATTTATAGTAACCGCGTAGTAAGGGAAGCTTTAAATACTCTTCATTATTTGCTATACGTCCACAAATAAGAATAAGTTTGCCTTTTTTGGGATATTTAGACGATTCATTAATTGACGTGTATTAATTTATAGGTTGACAGTCTCAAATCGTGTCTAATCGGACAACTTCGGACATACTCGTTTACCCTGAAAGTCACATACCCAGGCGATGACCTTGACCATATTTTCGTTACAATTAGCAGTCCATGTACTATATGGTCTAAGGGTAAATGCCAATTATCCTCTTCAAGCAGAACATATTTATATTTTAATACAAAAAGGAGTTAGTTTGTAATATATTATAGAACAATGCGCTGTGACCATTGTGGCAAAATTATTATAAATAACAAAAAATACATTTTTCATTTAGAGTATAAGGTAGGTGCGGCAAATAAGGCCCGTAGTTCCTTAAAATTCCCATGAAATACAGAACGCTACTGTCACCTGTATTTGAACTGTCCTTAGCATGGTTATTGTTAAACAGATGTCGCGACTTGAATTATTAGCGACACTTCTCTGTATCAAAGGTTTGTTTCCAGTGAATCGAATATTTTGATCTTGTTATTACCGCGCAAATATACTTTAAGCTCATAAATTAGGTTTTTGTGATCATCATATACAGTCAAAAGTGATTAGCTGGTAAGTACCTACAATACATAATATACAGTAAAAAAAATATAATGCTATGCCAACGAGAACATAGGTTTTTCATTGTTAACCTAAAATTTGCACATGTCTGTAATAAAGCCCGGGAAAATAACAGGCGGGCCTTATTTCTGCTCGTAAATAATGTTGTGTAAAAAGTGCAATTGAAGTTAAAGAACAACACGGGCCTTATTTTTCACGCTGCCAGAAATAAGGCCCACTAGTTGAATTTTTGAAAAAAAATTATTTAAAACTTGCTTTCGTTTTTTGGGAAAAATTTTATATTTCATTGTTGTTGTGCATAAGTGTTACTTACATTGACAATAAATTGTCAAGTTCCTGCATTTCCTTTGATGAATAAAAATTTATTTCTCTTAGGTGGGCCTTATTTGTCACATCTACCTTATGCACGGTCTTAAAAACAAATTTACTTGTTCAATATGTAAAAGATCATTTCATCGTAGGCATGCATTTCTTCAACATCTTAACTACAAACATTCTTCTACAAATGAAAATATTAGTTCTAGTAAAGGTCATATAAACATTCCTTGTGAACCCTGTGCTGACAATGTTACTGAAAATATGACGAAGGAAAATTTGAAGAAGTCTTCAAAAGTAGAGGTCCCTCTTGATATTGATTCCCAAATTAAAATAAATTTTCGTGAATTTAAGGAGATATTTAGTAAAGCAATTCAAAAGTTTATATCAGAATTATATGACAATTTAACCTTAACTAAATCTGTAATTCAACACATAATCCAAAACACCGTTGATTTCTTACATTCAGGTTTCATTGATAAAATTGAACATTTGTTCGGTTTATTGCAGAAAAACTTTGAATCGTCAGGTTGTGACTCTTAGAAGTCTATGCTAAAAATGTTAAAAGAATCTTTTGATTTAATGAACTCAGAATATAAGAGGTTTAAGTATTTTGAAGCTTGCAATGCATTTATTAAACCTATTGAATGCAAAATTGGATCATCTACTGATCGTTTTTTCTCAAAAGGAATCGTTTCACTGGGGTTAAAAGATCGAAACATGTCATTTGTGCCCCTAAACAAAACTTTGCAGACATTTTTGCAATTACCGAATGTATTGGATGAAATTTTAAATTATCAAAAGAAATTGGAGGATGTGAACATTGAAAATAATGTAATGATTAATATATTAAACGGTACAATTTGGAAGAATGTATCAAAACCTCCCAATAAGTCCATTGTACCCTTAATCTTATATTTTGACGACTTTGAAACAATTAATCCTTTAGGCAGTCATACAGGATATTATAAAATGGGGGCTGTATATTTCTCTATACCTTCTATTCCTCCTCAATACGTTAGTCGCTTAGAAAATATTTTTTTAGCATTGCTTTTTTATAGTTCTGATAGGTGCGTTTTCGGAAATGAGATAATCTTTACACCACTGATAAATCTGTTAAAAGATCTGGAGGTTGATGGTATTAGAATAGAACACATAACATAACGTAGGGTAGACCGGGGCAGGTTCGGACATGGGGCACCTCCGGACAATTTGATTTTACCGCCTTCCATAGCGAAATGTGATTTCATATTTTAACAGTTGGTTACAGTGCTTTGTTCAATCCGTGTGTCAAAATTTCGTGCCGGTATTTTAAGTGATTTTGAAGTTATTATTAAAAGTCGTAAAACGCTACCTGAAGTAAGTATTATGGCCATCTACTCCTAAGGATTTGCACTATTTAGTTTTGTATTTTTTTTATTGCAAAGTATATTAGGCATAAAGTATCATATTTTCACATTACATAACCTATATTTTAAGAAGCGGCAAGTTCAAAATTCTCAGATTTTTTAAAGTGTTTACATGATGTGCATGTGAGGCACAACCGGACAGTATAGTGTGGGGCACATTCGGACTGTCCGGAGGTGCCCCACTTTGTTGTTAAGCTTGTTTCATTTGGATTATAATATATAACGTTTATTTAGCATGGTTAGAAATTACGTTAAAAAACGAAATCGACCCGAGGTTCCTGAAGAAACAATCCAAACAGCTGTTTCAAATGTAATTCAAAATAATATGTCGATACGACTTGCTGCTAGCACATTTGGTGTAAAAAAATCGACGCTTCATGACAGAGTTTCAAAGGCCAAGAGGCAAATTGCCCATTCTGATTCTGGAAATGACAGTGATGAAGGCTCGTTGCAAATTTCAGGCCTTTCAAAATATGCTACTCGGCAAATATTTTCTGTAAACGAAGAAAATGAACTTGAATCATATCTTAAGCAATCATCACAAATTTTATATGGTTTGACATATCAGGCAACTCGGAAATTGGCGTATCAGTATGCAGTTAAATTGCAAAAAACTTTTCCTATACAGTGGAAAGAAAACGAAATTGCTGGCGTCGAATGGATGCGGTTGTTTATGAAGCGCCATCCAAGACTATCATTGAGAAAACCCGAAAACACCAGTGTTGCACGGGCGTCGGCTTTTAATAAACATAATGTTGATGAATTTTTTAATAATTATATTCAGGTACAAGACAAATACAAGTTTGATCCGAGTCGTATTTGGAATACAGATGAGACTGGTATATCTACAGTCATTCAGGCACCTAAAGTGATAGCAGAAACTGGCAAAAGAGTTGTTGGTCAGTGTGTTTCTGGGGAAAGGGGCACATTAGTTACATTTTGCGGCGTAGTTTCCGCTACGGGTAACACAATCCCTCCGATGTATATATATCCTCGCATCCGCATGAAAAATCATTTTTTAAATGGTTCTGTACCCGGTGCCATAGGTTATGGCTCAAAATCAGGTTGGATGACTGCCGAATTATTTGTCAAATTATTAGAACACATAAAAATTCAAACTCAGAGCAGTAAAATGCATCCCATACTTTTGTTAATGGATAACCATGAGACTCATGTGTCAGTTGAGGCTATCAACTATTCACGCGAAAATGGAATAGTATTGGTATCGTTTCCACCACATTGTACACACAAAATGCAACCTCTTGACAAAACCGTGTATGGACCTTTTAAACAAAAATGCAAGGTATCTTTTAATGATCACATCTCGAGCAACCCGGGAAGACCTGTAACAATTTATGATATTGCCAAACTGACATCAGAACCCTACCTGCAAAGTTTTACGCCTAAAAATATTATAAGCGGTTTTTCAAGCACCGGATTGTGGCCCATCAACAGACTAATTTTTTCAGAGGAAGACTTCTTTGGAGCATACGCTACAGACCGAACAAACCCACAACCTGAAAGAAACGAAGATTCTGAAAAATTGGTCACCATTGTCGATCCCAGTGTTAAATCGGTTGACCAAGATGTTAACCACGTTGACCTTTCTCCATCTGAAAAAGACAATTTCCATATAAATCAGGCATCTATTTCTTTGTCTGCCAACAATTTATCGACCAATTCTGAAAACAAATTCACACACGATGTAACAGCAATGATGCGTTCAATAGTTAATGAAATTGTGAAAGAAGCAACAAAGCCATTGATCAATATCGTTTCATTGCACATATTGAAACCATCAGATATAAAACCGTTCCCAAAAGCAGCGCCTCGAAAAACAAACAGGAAATCTCGTGTAGGAAAATCAAGAATTTACACAAGCACGCCAGAGAAAACTCGAATTGAAGAATTACAAGAAATAAGGAAGTTGAAGTTAGACAAATCTGGAACCAAGAAAAAATTAGTAATAAATAAAACCAGCATTCAAACACTTAAAAGTAGAAAACCCACAATAACACAGAATATCCAGAAGAAGGGAAATAAGAATAATACCAGAAAGAGAACGAAAATACCCAAAGAAAGTGATACATCTTCAGATTCTAATTCAGAATCTTTTAAATTTATGACAAAAAAGAACAAATTTCTGGACTCTTCATCTGACTCAGACATTGACATGACGGAATCTGATTGCGATGAATTCTCTAAGCTTTTAGGTAAAAAATAATTAGTTTTTTTTAAATTGGTCTACCTACTACTTTTTTGCAGATGATGAGGAGATTTTGTGTGACGACTACGTTCTGGTACAATTTCCCACCAAGAAAACAGTGATTCATTACGTTGGGCAAGTGATACAGCTTGCAGAAAACGGCGAGTTTGTCATAAAATATTTGAGGAACACACACAACCGTTTCCACTTTCCCACCGTGGATGATATTTCAACCATAACAAGATCAGAAATAGTGGGGAAACTGCCTAGGCCAACTTCTGTTACTGGAAATGCTCGTCTTTCAAGTTTCTTAAAATTCAATGTCAATTTTTCTTCCTTAAATGTCAAATAATTTTAACGTTTAAATATACCTTTTGAAAGTCAAAACTATGTATGAAACATGTCCGAACGTACCCCATGCGTGTCCAAAACTGCCCCACCATGGGGCACCTTTGGACAATTAACACTTTTTTGTTTTGCCTTTTTTTGTAAAAAACTGGAGAAGTTTGTTCTTAAATTGCTAGGTTATTAGTTAAAAAACATATGAAGCAATATATTTTCAGCTTTAGAAGATTTAGTTTAAATAAAATAATAGTAAAAAAATCTGCTTAACAAAAAATGTCCGAACCTACCCCAGTCTACCCTACATCAAATATACTTTCATTTACTTCTTGTTGTTGGAGATAATTTAGGATTGCATTCTGTTTTTGGGTTAACTGAAAGTTTTGGAGCTACAAATTATTGTAGGTTTTGCTTATGTTCCAAAAATGTAGCGGCGATTCAGACAATTGAAGATGGTACTATGATGCGTAATCCTCTTGATTATAATGATCATTTGAGTAATTTTAGCTACGGAGTGAAAGAAGAATGTGTCTGGCATAGTTTAAAAACATTTCATATTTATAATAATTTTACTTGTGATGTAATGCACGATTTGTTTGAAGGGGTACACAGATACGACATGGCACAAATAATAGCAACTTGTATATCTATGGAATATTTTTCCTTAGATACTTTAAACTCTAGGATTAGGTATTTCACTTATGATAGTTCTAATAAAAATATTCCACCCGCAATAAAAGTAGACCATCTAAAAAGTGGTTGCATAGTTATGTCAGCCTCAGAAATGTTATGCCTGGTAATAAATTTCAGATTTATAATTGGTGATTTAATACCTGAAGAAGACAATGTCTGGCAGTTTTATTAATACTTCTAGATATTACAGAAATATTAGTTTCAACCAGTATAAGTAAAGAACATTTGGGTTTTCTTAAATCGTTAATCCATGAACACCATGTGATGTACATTAGTTTGTTTAAACAAAACTTAAAACCCAAACATCATTTTCTTATTCATTATCCAACAATTAGGAGAAAGCGGGGCAAAGCGGAATGATTTTTAAATTTAATTTTTTTTTGGCTAAACTATAGGTTGTATAGATAAATTTTTTTTCGTAATAAGAACGTTAGTACTGTTCGCACGTAACAAAATATTTACTAGATCTTAGTTCCTCATACTGGTACTGATAATAAATGGTTTGTGTATCAACGCATTTCATTCCACTTTGCCCCGCCTGTGGGGCAAAGTAGAATGACCACATTCCACTTTGCCCCGCCTGTGGGGCAAAGTAGAATGACCAGCGGGGTAAAGTGGAATGAAATTTTTTAATTGTTATAAATATGTATTTTGACAAAGTTTTATTATATTAGCTTAAGAAAGGAAACATTTAGAGATATTGAAAATATTTATGTACAAAAATCACAAACATAAGGCTTGTCATTATCGGTGTCAAAACCCGAACACTCTTCATGCGCCCACAAACGACAGATTGAGCAACTAATCCAACCTTCACCTTCTTTGGATTTTAGAAAAGTACCATCACAAACTATACAAGAAGTGTCCTCTACTTCCTCGTCACTGGAAATAGGTTCAGTATTTTTTTTATTTTGTCCTTTGGTCCCTTTTCTTGGCTTTTTTTGTTTAGGTAACTTTGTTTCCACAACCTTTCGCTTCGAAACTTTTTGTCCCTTCTTCTCCTGTAACTCTTTTAAATATGGACTGGAAGTTAACACAGCAGTCTTTCCTCGATTTTTGGAAACTTTTCGTGTTTCGCATGTAGATTTTACCTTCGGAGCTGGCATTATGTCTATGGGACTAACGTAATTATTTTTTGAAATTTTTTTAAATATTGGTGTTTGTAGACCGGAACACGACGCAACATTGCTATCCGGTGGTATAGTTTGCGTTGGGCTTGAACTTGATACATTGGAACACGACGCACAATTACTATCCACTGTTATGGGAGAAACATTTATATCCTGCATTACGTTTGTAGTTGATGACGATGTTTTGTCTACCACTGGATTTTCTGTAGCGTGAAAAACTGCATCCTGGATAGTGACAGCATCAGCATCAAGGTCCCTGTCAGTAGTTTCACTGGCAGCAAAGGCCTCTTCTGGAAACACATTTGGATCGAGTGGGAAAATTCCGGTTTTTTTAAAGCCATTAATAGCATTCTGTGGGGTAGATGCCTTTAGATAACTTTTTCCAAAAATGCTACCCACTTGGCGAATCGTAATTGCTCGACCTGGATTTTGCCTCATCCATGTTTCACACTCTTGAGTGTGAAATGTCGATAACGGAAACATGAAAGAAACGTCCAGAGGCTGCAGACGATGTGAAGTGTGTGGAGGGATACACAGTATGTGCATATGGTTCTGTCTGGCAGCCTCAATCAGTTGAACATTTTTGGTGTGCGTTGCGTGCCCATCCAGTATTAATAAAACTGGATCAGTCGCGGATGGTTTGGAGTAATGGAGAAAATGTTCAAACCACTTTGGAAAAAAAATTTCTGTCTGCATCCAACCAGAGGGATGGCAAACTAATACAGTTTCTGGTGGAGTACCATTTAATAATTCAATATTCTCCCTTGTCCTTGGAAAAATAAGTAGAGGGGGAACATACTGCCCTGCGGCATTAAAACAAATAGCTGCAGTTGTGGTTACTCCTCTTTCAGCAGAAGTCACATTTCCCACCTGCTTCTTTCCTTTTAAACTAATGATTTTTGAAGGTTTATTAGGCACAGTAGAAATGCCCGTTTCATCCACATTATATACCCTGCTTGCAGGAAACTTGAACTTATCAAAAAGCTCAATTAATAAGTCAAAGAAAGCCTTTACATTTTGCCGGTTAAATGCAGAGGCTCTCGCTAAAGAAGTATTTTCCGGACATCTAAGGGATAATTGTGGGTGGCGCTTAAGAAAACCATTAACCCAATCCTTCCCAGCCCTCCCTGTCTCTGCATTAAAGGCATGTGCTTTGTTATTTTGCTGAGCAAACTGATAGGCTAGGTATCTAAGGTCAGAAATTCGTAAACCAAAAAACCTTTTCTCCATGAATAAACAGTGGTTTACTAAATCGAGTTCTTCTTCATTGGAGAACACTTTTCTAAATCTCCCTAACTGTTTTAAAGAAACAGAGTTTGGCTCGCCCTCTTTTTTGGCTCGCCTAAAGAGAGTGGTACACGGTACCTCATAATGTTCAGTCGCCTCTTGAAAGCTCATTCTTCCATCCCTGACAGCTAAAGTAGCAGCAGACATGTCGGTTTCCACCCACTTTTGTTGAGACGTTTTTCTTTTATAATTTCTCACCATTTCAACCTGTAGAAAAAAAAACATTTAGCACCTGTCACCTGGCGGGGCAAAGTGGAATAATTCCACTTTGCCCCGTTTCACTTTGCTCCCAGTGCAGTTTGCAGATTATAACCAAAATCACAAAATTACAGTAAACATATTTAATGAAAAATGCAACGAAACAAGAAGATAAAAGCAACGTTTACAAGCAGTAAAATTTTGGAATACTCACAATATCATCCACGAACTATACACAAAATCTATGAACTTAAATAATTATATCAGACATTTCGTAAACAACGAATTGTAGATAACTACTGCACGAATGGCGCGAATATGGTATAACTTTTGACCATAGAACTGTATACGTAGTAACTGGAAAGGACTCGCGTATACCTACGCTCGCGCGAAATTGAGGCAGGGGCAACAGACAAAGACGGGGCTTACTTTAGGATTCTCGTCTCGCTTGCACTCATACTTTTATATGCAAATTAAAAGACGATTTCCCTTTCTTTCATGTTGTTTCACCTAATGGGCATATATTTGACTTCGAATGTGTTTGAATCCGTTTATGTACAAATCATTTATTGTAGTGACACTTGTGATTATGAGTCATACATTTGTTTTTGTTTGTAATCAAGTGTAGAACTTGCAGTAACCATCATGGTGCTCAATTGTGTAGTTGTTGGATGCACCGTTGTTCACGGCACAAATAATCCCATTTCTTTTCATGGGTAAGTACATTTCTTTCGCATAATTAACTACAATTATTTGCTACATAGGAAAAACGAAACAGCTGATCCTTAAATGAGTAAGAGCGCGATGACGGTGGAACTTTAACCTTTACACGCATTAAATAGTATAAACTGGAAGTAATTTCTGCGTATACTTTGTCGTGATAATACCTTAAAGTATTTAGATAACGTAACAAACAAAACTAAAATATTTCTACCATTATTTGGTTAAGTAATTATCGATTTTATCTCGTGACGCAACAACACTTCCATTAAAGCGCTCGTGTAAAAGTGAGATGGGAATCCTAAAGATTAACGAATTGCCTAAGCACGCGACTTGCCTCACTTTTCGGTTGACGCGAGTCCTTTCCAGTTACTACGTATACAGTTCTATGCTTTTGACTGACTAGTGGTGTGTTGCTATGCTTAAAATTTCACCGATTGCCGATAGATTGAGCTGTGTATTCCGGAATAATTACAATCATTCCACTTTGCCCCTCAATTCGCTTTGCCCCGCTTTCCCCTATTTCTCGAATTGGTCCTCCAATTTTAATATCCTCCATGCGTTATGAAGCGAAACATAAAGACTTAAAAAATATTTCAAATGTCGTCAAGTGCAGGAAAAACTTACCATTTACTCTTTCCATGAGGCATCAACTGAAGTACTGCGTAAGGATATTATTGGAAAGGGGGTTATCTGACAATATAACAGAAGGAGCAACCTACCTTGTAAATAATCTTAATCTTAAGTCTTGGGTTATAGAGACATATAAAAATTGTATTGCGGTTACTTACTGTAATGTCAATGGGTTACACTATGCTCCTCATTCAGTTGTTATCTCAAAAGTTGAAAAAGATGTACCTCATTTTTTACTTATAACATTTATCGTAAGGGATGAATGTCAAAATTATTATTTTATTTGCAATCCGTTAAAAACCATTGAAATGAAACTTTAAATGAAATATGTATAACATCTTTAAATGATTTATATTCAATTATTCCTACTTGCTTATGCACAACTAAAGATGCCACAATGGTCATAAGATCTTACTAATAAGTTATTTTTACAATTAAAATTAGGTTTTTGTATGTAAAAACAAGTTTTATTTACTGTGTTATTACCGTTATGAATGTTTAAGTTTGAATAAATTTCTTTTAATTGAAATATTTTGTTGCTTTATTTTAAACTATTTATTTCACAAATGAAGTTAGAAGGATGGTAAAAATAACATTTTCTTCTTTAAGTAAAATAGTGAAAAGATTA